CATACACCCATGTACTTTCTCCTGAGCCAACTCTCCCTTATGGACATGATGCTGGTCTCCACCATAGTGCCCCAAATGGCAGCTCATTATTTAACGGGCAAGAAATCCATCTCCGCTGCTGGCTGTGGCTTCCAGATCTTCATCTTCCTCACACTAGAAGGTGGAGAATGCTTCCTCTTAGCAGCCATGTCCTACGACCGCTACGTGGCTATCTGCCGCCCACTGCGCTACTCGGTTCTCATGAGCTGGCAGTTATGTCTGAGACTGAGCTTGGGGTCGTGGCTCCTGGGAGCAGCTGATGGAGCCATGCAGGCCGCTGCCACCCTGAGCTTCCGGTTTTGCCGCGGGAATGAAATGGATCACTTCTTCTGTGAGGCCCCTGTGTTGTTGCGCCTGGCTTGTGGTAACACGGCTGCCTTTGAGTTTGTCATGTACATCTGCTGTGTGCTGATGCTTCTGGTCCCCTTATCCCTCATCCTGACGTCGTACGGCCTCATCCTGGCCACTGTCCTCCAAATGAGATCCGTAGAAGCCGGCAAGAAGGCCTTTGCCACCTGCTCCTCGCACCTGGCAGTGGTGACACTCTTTTATGGAGCTGCCATTTTCATCTACATGAGGCCGACATCTTCCAGGTCAGCTAAGCATGACAAGATTGTATCCGCCTTCTACACTATTGTCACCCCCATGCTGAACCCCCTCATCTACAGTCTTCGGAACAGTGAGGTCAAGGGCAGCCTGAGGAAGCGTGTTGCCCACTGCGCTCCCCTCACTAGAAAGGATGCCTTGGTTTGCCTGGATTTGGGTGGTTGTACAAAGAGGAAAGGTACACAGTAGCCCCCTTCCCAGGGATAATGTCTCAGGATGCCCAGGGGATACCTGAGGCCACTGAGAATTCCAAGCTCTGTTGTTAGTTTTCTACCTTAAGTCTTCTATCCTGTGCTTGGAACTGGGGGAAAGAAGCTGTGTGTGTGTGTGTGTGTGTGTGTGTGTGTGTGTGTGTGTGTGTGTGTGTGTGTGTGTTTAATACGTTGTGAAGATTCTCTGCATTTTTACACACACCAGAAGCTATTCTTTTAAATTGATAATGGTGCCCAGTGTTTCAAAAGCCACCACTTGTTCCCTGATTTGTGATGGACATGTGGAAGGCCTTCAACCTTATTTCAATTACATTTTTTTTTTTTTTTTTTGGTTTTTCGAGACAGGGTTTCTCTGTGTAGCTTTGCGCCTTTCCTGGAACTCACTTGGTAGCCCAGGCTGGCCTCGA